TAAGTCCTTTACAATGCAGAGCTACCGTAATGATTTCATAAAAGTGCAGACAACCAGACAGACAGCAAAAAAAGACTTCAATCAGTAGTCCTTGCATACAAGAGGTGAGTTTGCTAGGTGTACAGCACACTCTTCAATCTAAGGAATTTGAGGATTTCCAGCCTTAGTAACTAAGAGTGAGGGAGTGCTTTTTCAAAAGCAATGCTACGACCTGGTCGGGTGGTACTATTGTGTAAACTGGAGGAAAAGACAAAAGAAGATGTATTTCTCTTCAGTAATGATCAGCATTTTGGTAAGGAGCTCAAAGATGGTAAGTCATGGCCTTGCTTCTTAGAAAAGGTTCTTTTCCAAGAAATAAGAACCTCTCTCTCTATCATTACAAGAGAATCACACTTAGATAACTTTTCCCAAACCTGCATACATACTAGACAGTTCACATTATAAGCACGGGACAGAATTTAGGACCATATAAATTTCCTAGGTAAGGGTTGCTGTGTTGGTTCAAACCTCTGCTTGAATCACAGGAGTGGAACGTGTGCAAAAATCTTAACTATCAGCAAGCAAAAACTGTAAATCTAAACCTCACTGCCATCAAGTTGGTTCTGACACAGTGACCCTACATAGGGTTTCCAAAGCTGTAAATCCCAGCACGAGGAGACTGCCCATCTTTCTCTCTGGGAGTCACTGGGTTCAAGCCATCTGAATGGCAGCCACAGGGAGAAGGCCTCTTACACCAGCACCATATCCTTTACTTTTAATGTTCATCCCTTACTGACTTTACAATTTAGAACTGTTGATGGTTCAGGAGTAATGTCTTTCTTGGATGTTTTGGTCCTTAGCAATATATGTATTAGGATTCTCTCTCACACTGATGTAGTCAGTTCAAGGTTGTAAATTGCAGAGGAAGAGATGGCCCCTCTTTCCCTCACTTAGCAACTGGTGGATTCAAATACCAGAGAAGCTTGGCTAGCACCAAAGTTCCCTATAGACTGTACCATGAGGGGTCCTTATATTAGGAGTAATGGAATAAAAACAGTTAAGACGATCTATGGCATCACGGCTAAAAAAAAATCCATATAGATAGTAAAAAAACCCTGTGTGACTTTTCTTCATCTTTGCAGAGAACTCACCACCAGTGTTTTTAATTTTCATGGATCATCTCTCTCTGCATCAATTTTTTATTGTCACAAAATATACCCAAAGAAATTCTGGTTTCTTTACCAGCACTATTTTACTGCATTGCAATGTATGATCTATATTTTACTTAACTTTGAACTCACACAAGCGCTCAGAGGGGATTAAAAAGGAAAAGCGTACATCTAATGACCACCTTCTTATAAATATCAACCGAGAGTACTATTTCTTTACGAAAAATACACATTCTTGTCTTAAGAAAGGGGGAAAAGCCCTCCAAAAAACCCCAAAACCTTAAGTGCCCTGGTGGAAAACGTACAGTGTGAGCTGTATCCATCCATCCATCTACAATTTATACATATATATAGATCTTCATATGTATATACAATATATATATACATACACAAGTAATAACTATACAAAATGTGCATATTTAACAGTTTTTTAAAAGCCAGTAGATGGTATAATACAATTTATTTTCACTAGTGAATGGCACATATGTAAATGCAAAGGAGGTGTTTCAAGTACAGTAAGTAATTTTTCACAGGCGAAAATAAACAGTATTATTCCAGTGTCCAACACAATGTTTACTTTATAATTTTAAATGCCAGATGTCTAGTACTTATAGAAATAAACAGCTACTAAACTCTGTCTTGTGGTCTTAAAGACACTCAGACTTTTCAGTCTTTGAAAAGGGTTGAGGAAAATGCACGTGGAAGGGAGTGTCATGAACTGTGTCTTTAGTGTAATGAACGATGTTTACTTGTTATCTAGGTAGCTGAAAATCATGATGACTAAGCTAGAAAATGTAATTTCCCAATGAATCTTCATAGTATGCCTAGAGTACTAAGCATATTACACTTGTTAGTACATGCAGCAATATTCACCTCTAGGCACAGAAATAATAATGAAAAAATGAATAAAAGGAGTATAAACATTTTCAGCAGACAATTTTATATATATACTTATATGTATAAAATGAAAATACATTCAGATACTATACAATTTGGGGTTAAGAGTTGATTTTAATAAGGGGAGAAAAAAATGTGTGCAAAGAAAAGGGAACCCACCTAGGAATACTATATTTCAAGGTATGTGGTTTTGCATTTTAAAAATGCTCACTTAAAAGGGATAGGCAGCAACACAGGAAACCGCCAAGCTCTGGAAGCCAGATGTAGAATTTACAATTTTCTGATATGCCAGACAAATTCCCCATACTTTTAATTTCCTTAAATACATGTATGATGAGTGAACACCAACAAGAGGAAGGAGGTAGTGCTAATCTAATAGATATTGAAGCTTGTATTTGTACACTGACTCAGAAAGTGCTGGCTTTTTCTTTAAGAAATCTCAAAACTTCTCAGATTTTTCTGTTTTGAGCTTTCTTCTCTGATGATTCCTACCATGGATAAGATTACTCCGAAGTTAGAACTTAATCACGCACACACACACAAACCAATTAATCTGAATAATTTTTGCAAACTATAAATATTTTAATTAAAATTAACTTAATGGTATAAGTCAGGTATAGTCATGACCTACATGTAAAACTGAGTGTCACACAATTAAATTAGATACAAAGTCTTCTGGGAAAGATATATGGAGTCAGTGTTCAACCACATTATAACAAGTACATATGATCTGAATAAACTCAGTATTGATTAAGTTGAAAATGCTACTTTTAAATCAATGACTGGACTTTAAAATGAAGAAATGGGAAATCTGGTAGAATTTGGGGTTTCACAGAGCATTGTATACTAAACATTTTATCTTTTATACTTTGACAGTTAAGGGTCAGATCTAACATAAAAAGGTATTGATTCTCATTACATTTTGAACATTTTATTAAATTCTAAAGCTCTCTTGTAATTTTCCTCCAAATAGTTTTCTCAACTGGTTTGAAGCATTAAGATATTTGAATGTAAAAATGATAAATATATGACAAGCACATGTCATGTTCAGTGAGGAATTGGTTATCTAGAGAACAGCTAAGAGAATGATACACTACTACTTGAAATACTGCCTAGAATGGGGTGTTAATCCTACTGTAATGTTGATTTTGAAAAGATTTACAGTAAAATATTATTTTCTTCATTTATTTTTAAAATGAGTGCCACAAACTCCTAAAGAGGAGGATTCCTTGAGGTTGAATCAACCTATCTAGGGAAGATTTTAACTTAGTTGTTAAAACCAAGACTCAAATGTTTAGTCATTAGTTTAGTCTAGAGGAACAGAGTCATTGAGAGGGATTAAGAGTTCTACCTCTGAGCATTCTGACCACATGAAAAACAGAATCCAGAGTTAGCAGCATGGGTTTTTCAAAACTATAGGGCAGGTGATAGGACAATAATGTGTAAGGAACTCTGATTCATCACTGGAAAGGACATTTATTTTCCTTCAAGTCATATTCCCAGTTCCTCATCCACTTTCAACTCAACTCAGTTTCCACACTGGCAATGGAACACCAAGTTATCTCTGACTTTTAGCACTAGGTTGATCCTTCATTATAAAACAAATAAAATATACCCCCTTTTTTGGGAGAAAAAAGTTAGCTTTTGTCAAGAGATTCCCTGACTACTATAACTTACCTTTAAAAAAAATTTATAAACTTTCTAGTTCTTTTTCAGTAGTATTTCAGCACAAAACCTAGAGACTTCTGGAAGTGGTGTTTCCTATAGTATGATGTTAACATGATGACAATGGCCACAAAGTCTCAATGAACCAGAAGTTTGTAAGTATTGCAGCAACAAAAACAGCAATTAAAAAAAAAAAAGAGGACCTGCACATGCAGTACAATCTACAGTGGTGACGAGAATTAGTCAGCAGCTGGTAGTGACTGGCTCAGTGACTTCTTGTTCACTATGGCAACTAAACATTTAAATAATTGGCTACTCTATTTGTAAACAGGAAATCTCATAAGCCAAAAGGGGTAATCAAATTTTGTCTCTGTAGTGTGAGAGAATTCCAACAGATGGCATTTGCAAATATGGCATCATTCAAATACCTCTGGCATTTGATGTGTGTTGGCTACACATTTTTTACTGTACAAAGTAAAGTTATGTCTGGGGTCTTAAGCATTAAGAGTGTTTAGCTAGGATGAGATATCACAGTATAAGCAACAAAACCGTGGAATATATAGACTTCATCTCCTCACTACTGCTAACCATACCCAATAATGAGCATTCAGAGGTTTCTTTCACCCTTCCAGTCTTCTCCTTTGAAATCTCAGATTGTTAATGCAATCCCCACATACAACTTTTGCTTTCCTTAAGCACCCTTACCTCTTCATGCTACAAAGAAGGCACAATTAAGTGGATAAAAATCACTGATAAACCTAAGTAGCATTCAGAAAAAGAACTAACTTGTTTTCTATTCTCTTTGAAAAAGCCAATGTAACTCTAGTGGTCATGAATTTTTCTTTTATTTTTTCACTCCAAATGAGGCTGAGAAGTCAGACCAATTTAATGAAGAAAAAAAAATTGGTGATGTGATGTGAGTGTATTCTCATATTAATTTGTTTAAGTATATGCTGCCTGCTGTGAGTGGCTTATAGGAATTTGGGATATGGAGGAAGGCTTTAGATTCTTTCATAAACTTCTCAGGATACAGACGTTCAAGAGTAATGACTCAAGCCACTTTGTTGCATTTTATTTTTGCAGTGTATAGTACTCCCTTATCTAGTCAGTTTCTTTTTATTACATGCATTATATATATATATATAAAAAGTATGTGTGTGTGTATATGTATATATACACACACACTATATATATATATATATACACACACACACACACACACACATACACACACACACACACACACACAACTCCTCTTTTCAAAAACTCCCCCAAAAGTTAAAACAACAACCCGGCAGCCAAATACTATGACATCCCAATTAGTAAACACAAAACAAGAATGTTTTACAAAAAGGAATAAAATATACCATATGCATTCAGCTTCCACACTGTAGTACCCAAGTGGGGAGGCTGCTGCGACGATGTCTGTAGGCAGTTTCTTTTGGCAGACAGTTCCAGCGGAATTGCCATTCTCAATTATTAAGTTATGTATAAGACATATGTGACCCATTGGAAATTTGTGAAGTGACACTCGTGCTTCTGCTCATGCCCTGCTCCGTCCGTCCCCCAGAAGCTGTCCGCCTGAGAGCTTGGGGGCTATTGCGGACTCCCATACTGCTACCTCGAGGTACCCCTTGCATTGGCCCCGAGGGATGACCCCATGGCTGGGGTCCACCTTGCATTGGATGGCCCCACGCTTGTGGTGGGCCACCCATGGGATGACCCCAATGGGGGCCTGGACCCCCAGTAGGATTGTGAGACCAACCAGAAGCTCCTGGATAGCTGTGGCTGAATGCCTCAGGGGAGAGATTAGAAAGGACCATGTTACTAAAACCTAATCTCATGCTTTCAGAGTCAAAAGCTTCAATTTCTCTGGCTTGACGCTCCAGCAGGCTTCGTATTCGTTCTGTGCGTTCATTCTGCAAAGCCAACATCTCTTCTTCAATCTAGAAGGATTGAGAAAGGGAAGCAAAATGAAAGCTGATTTATAATTTAAAAATTTATCATCTAAGAGAACAACAACTTTGAAGTGATTTTGGGGGGGGGAAATCAAGGGATATTTTACAAATGTATATTTAAAAAAGCAAAGATAGGTACTGTAAAAAGAAACTTTATTTCTAAAATGTATAAAATCGAATTTTTAAAAGCAAAGGCAACAACAGCCTCTGTTGAATTATTACCAATGGACACAAAATCTATTAGGTAAAAAGAGAAGGAAATTTTTTAAAATGGGTGACCAGATGCTAATACCAGAACCTATTGGTCAATACTAATATAATTGATTAAGTGAGATTAAAATTGTTGCTATTGTTGTATACCATTAAGTTGGACTGACCCATTGCTGACCCTCCAGCAGGTTTTCAGCAACAGTAAATTGAATGGAAGTTAGTTCTTTCTCCTGAGAAGCAGCTAGTAGATCTGAACGACGTACCTTTGTGTTGGCAGCAGAATTCCTGACTACTAAGACACCAGAAAGAGTTCCCTGTGATAAAAATTAGACATGTATCTCCTAATGTGATGCATTATTTCTCCTCTTTCAAATATTCTTGCATTATTTAAAAAAAGAAAGAAAATGAAATCTAAATATAATCAGAGGGCTCTGGTGGCCTAGTGGTAAGAAGCTGCACTGAAATTCTGAAAGCACATGGTTTGAATTCACCAGCTGCTCCAAGGAAGAAAGACAATCTCCTACTGTGTGACTGGAAAATGGCAGGGGGGTCAGCTATGGGCCAGTTCTGATTTACAGCACAACAATAACCACAAACCAAATCACATATAACTATCAGTTTCTTGGAAGGTGAAGAGGAAGAATAAAGAATAAGTTAAATGATATCCTGAGGACGCACTAAGCTAAATCTAGAAAGTAGAAAATTGTATGGGGCAAATGATAAAATGTCTTCTATAACAAATAAATGAGAAATAGGGGATAGATTGTTCTACATTAAAAGGTTTCAAAGACAATTATCCAAATTCAGTGTTTGGACCCTGTTTGGACCCCAAATCAAACATACCAACTGCAAAGAAGATATTCTTAATAGGAGAAATGAAGGCACGAATCAGTATTAATTGTTGTCAAATACTGACAAGTTGATTCTGACTCATAAAAACTTCATGTGACAGAGAACTGCTCATAAGATTTTTCTGGTCATAATTTTTTCTTTTTTTAAAATAAAATTTATTATTCTTTTGTGTGTTTGTGTGTACCATCAATTGGGATCTGACAGGTAGAGGAGGAGACTGTCCCTCCTTCTCCAGCACAGCATCTGGTGGATTGGAACTACGTACCTCTGGGATTGCAGTGCAGTTTCATGCCACTAGGCCACCAGCGCTCCCTTCTCCTCTCTTTTTTCAACTGGTTTTCATACATTAATTCAGTTATGTAATTGTATTTCATTCATATACACTGTGTTCCATACAATTCCGCTTTTCATACAATCATTCATATGATTCCCATATAATTACCACTGACCTATGCCTATTACTACATCATCCTTTCACTGCAGTGAATCTTTCCCATTACCTCCCCACCCCCCAATCCACTCACTAAACTATTATCCTATTATTTCCACCCTTCTTCTTTTCTCCACTCCCTTTCCTTTTAGGATATTTATGCACAGATTACTAGTTATTCTTTTATTTTTACAATAATGGTTCTAGACAGTATTTGTCCTTATGAGAATGAGTTAGTTCACTCAGCATAATGTTTTCCAGGCCTTCTAATGTCACATAGTATTTTACAAAATCACTGCTCCTTAGTGCTGCATAGTACTCCATTGTGTGAATGAATGCCATTTTTTCAATCCATTCATTTGTTGATGGGCATCTGGACTATTTACATATTCTTGATACTGTGAATAACACTGCTTTGAACATAGGCATACATATTTCATTCATGTCTCAGTTCAAATTTTCTTGGGGTATACTGCTAGCAGTGTGTAATAGGTGGGTCCTATGGGATTCCTATGTTCAGTTTTTAGGCAATTTTGTGAAAGACAGTTTGGCATTTCCATAATCTTTACAGAAAGAGTTTGCTAGGCTGTTTTCCTGTGAATTTCCTGGGGCAGATCTAAATCACTAGCCTTCTGGTTAGCAGCAGAATAACTACTGTTTTACTTGGTTTTTAGGTAATATTAGTAATTCCTCTGTGGAGCCAAGCAAATGAAAGTTACGAACAATCTCAATCTCTTCACCATCCATCCTGATGCTGCCAATTGGTCCTGTAGTGAGAATCTTTGTCTTCTTGATATTGAGCCTCAATCCATATTGAATATATATGAATATTGCACTGAAGCACTGAGAAGCCAAAGCAGAAGGAAGAATTCAAGATTATTAAAGAGTTAACAGAAGATTTCAAAAGGCAGAGCAGAAAGATAAAGTAAAATATTACAATGAAATGTACAAGGAGCTGGAGTCAGAAAATCAAAACGGCCGAACTCGCTCAGCATTTCTTAAGTTCAAGGAACTGAAGAACAAATTCAAACCTCGAGTTGCTATAATCAAGGATGCTTTAGGCAGAATATTAAATGATCCATGAAGTATTAAAAGGAGATGGAAAGAATATACTAAGTCACTGTATCGAAAGCAATTGGCAGACACAGAAGAATTTCATGAAACAATGTATGAGCAAGAGCCTATGGTGATGAAGGAAGAAGTGGAAACTGCTTTGAAAGAAATAGCAAAAAATAAGGATAGTATACCAACTGACATATTTCAACTAACAGATGCTGTCCCAGATGTGCTCCCCAAGTTGTGCCAAGAAATCTGGAGAACAACCACCTGGCCAACTGACTGGAAGAGATCTATGTTTGTTCCCATTTCCAAAGAAGGGTGACCCAACAGAGTGTGGAAATTATAGAACAATATCATTGATTTTAACGTGCAAGCAAGATTCTGCTGAAGATTATCCAAAAATGACTGGAACAGAACATCAACAGAGAACTGCTAGAAGTCCAGGCTGGTTTTAGAAGGGGTCATGGTACTAGGGATATTGTAGCTAATGTTAGATGGATCTTAGCTGAAAGCAGGGAATACCAGAGGAATGTATATCTGTGTTTCATTGATTATGCAAAGGCGTTTGACTGTGTGGATCATAACAAACTGTGGCTGACTCTGAGAAGAATGGGAATCCCAGAACACTTGATCATGCTAACGTGAAACCTATACTTGGACCAGGAGGCAGTCATCAGAACAGAGCAAGGAAACACTGCATAGCTCAAAATTGGGAAGGGCGTGCGCCAGGGATGTGTCCTGTCTCCGTATCTTTTCAACCTATATGTAGAACAGAGAAGGCTGGGCTCTATGAGGAGAAGTGTGGCATCAGGATTGGTGGAAGATCCATCAACAATCTGCATTATGCAGATGACATAACCCTGCTTGCTGAAAATGAGGAAGACTTGAAGCACTTGCTGCAGAGGGTCAAGGACTGCAGCCTTCAATATGGATCGAGGCTCAATATCAAGAAAACCTTACCTACTAGGGTACCACTATTTGAATCTGAACAATTAGATGAAGCAAAAATTACAAATATTTCAACAATACTAATATTTTTCTGAGAAACCTCTGTAGTGAGGTATGCTGCGATTTTCCTCTTTGGCGATCCATTTTTAGCTCCAAGAGAGATGAATAAACTCCTTCCCAGTTACTTATAGACTTGGAAATCCGCTGAAGGGTTCAGCTATGAGTTGGTTCTGACTTGCAAGCATCGAGTGTGTATATTTTTCTTAATATATAACAAACAAAAACCCCAAATGTGTTGCTATTCAGACAATTCCAACTCATAATAACCCTACAGGATGAAGCAGAACTATGCCATAGGGTTTCCACAGATGTAATTTTGACAGAAGGAGCAAGTCACATTTTCTATCATGGAGTCACAGAGGGTTCAAATTACAGACCTTTTGATTAGTAGCCACGTTGCCTGAAACACTATAGGGAGTTTTCTTATAGTAATAATTTTGAATTATTAGGAAGAAAAGCATAGACTGACTTTGATTTTTTTTTTAAGACTGAATTTCAGGAAGCTGGAATCAGATTTATGACATTGGATCACAAGACAAACTAGATTTTTCAAAATTTATGTTTGTTACTACCTTCTCATTTTGAATGAGAAATATAATAGTGGTAATTTTTAGAAGCAAATGCAACCTCACTGCCGTTGAGTCATTTCTGACTCACAGGACACTCTACTGAATTTCGAGGCTGTAAATCTTTAACAGAAGGAAACAGCTCATATTTCTCTTGTAGAGTGACTGGTGGATTCAAACCTCTGGAGATATAGTCTTTTAGTTGGCAGAACTCGCTGTGTACAGAACCACCAAAGCTCCCTATGTTTAGAAACACGCATCTCTCAAAGAAGCCAGTAGTTAACTATGGCAGAGAAATATTAACATCTTATTTAGATGGCTGCCTTTTTCAATTTTTATTCAAGAACTGTAGAAAATAGAGGAAAATGTATAAGGCAACTGTCCAGAGGGGGGGAAAAAAGACAATTTCTAATAGTCAAGATCATTTAACTAGTATTAACAGACAATGTCTGACAGAATTACGAGTGCATCATTTCTTTTTTTAACTTATAGCCCAAGAATTCTGGAATATAGCTTTAAATCCTGGATATAATGGACAGATGTGTCACCATGTCTCAAAACAAATACCTTTCCTGTCTTTATGTTTACAAATCTCCTGCCCATCACATATAGACACACATACAAACTCTTCCACCTTTACACAAACATTACCTTGCATTTTAGTATACACTGTTAATGTTAAGTGATAATAAGTTTGGGGATTCTAATTTTATTCTTAGAGATATTTAACAAAGAGTGTATTTAAGTCATAAAAAAATAAATAAAAGATGCATGCAGAAAGAACAATTTTTAGTCTATCTTTTCACCTGATTTTACCTTCTGTTCTCCAGTAATCTTTCACTAATCTGTGTAAAACCAGGTCAGAACTTGTGAGTAAAACCTGATCAGGACTTGTGAGTAAAGTATATATTTCTAATATTTTGTCCTTGGCTCTTCCAGTCATTTGTTGTAGTTTTTCTTCTTTAATATCCAAGTTTTTCATCAACATTTTTAGATTTGTTATTGTTCTGTATTGTTATTGTCAAGTCAAAACTGACCCTCCAGAACATTTTCAAGGCAGTACAAGGTATGGGAAGAGACTGCTCATGTGTCTCCTATGTAACAGCTGTGGACTCAAATGCAAGTCTTTGGGTTGACAGCACAACTCCTTACCAGTAAGCCCCTAGAGCTCCCTTTAGGCAGAGCTCGTCATACAAAAACTACAAGGAACAAAGAGCCAGAGCTACTTCCTCACAATTCAACTGACCATCTTCAAATAACCCATTCTTCTCTTTAGCAATTACTTGATTATACTTTTTTGATTTTTAGAAGCTACTAATATGTTCACTTCTGAACTAATAATTTAATGGGGGAAAATAAAAAACAAACCACTACCAGAACTAGAATTAAGGATGTACGTATGGTATTGTAAAAGCAATCTGGCACCTCAACAAGATAAACAATCCAATTGAAAAATGGGCACAGGATATGTCACCAAAGATGACATTCAGATGGCAAACATATGAAGAAATGCTCAAAATCCCTAGCTCTAAAGAGATGCAAATCAAAACAACTATGAGGTATCATCTCACCTCAGTAAGAATAGTAAAACTGAACAAAACAGCAAATATCAAATGCTGGCAAGGTTGTGGAGAAACTGGAACCCTTATTTACAGTTGGTGAGAGTATAAAATGATGCAGCCACTATGGGAGGCTGTTTAGCACTTTCTCAAAAAGTTGCAAATATAGATAGCATTTGACTCAGCAATTCCACTACTGGGAATATACCCTAGAGAAATTAAAACCACCACCCAAGCAGATATATGCACACCCAAGTTTACTGTGGCTCTGTTCACAATAGCAAAGAGCTGGAAACAACCCAAGTGCCCATCAACAAACGAACGGATAGAGAAGCTCTGGTATATTCACACAACGGAATACTATGCAGCATTGAAAAACAAGGAACTCATGAAATATTATACAAAATGAGTCACCCTGGAGGACATTATGATAAATGAAATATTTCAGTCACAAAGGGACAAATACTGCACAGTGCCACTGTTGTAAAACGGGACTGATATTGGAGTTGGGGGAAGACTGGAAAAGTGGGATAAATTATGTATACTACACTGAAACAGATGAGGAAGAGAGCTGTTTAAAAGGGATATGTGATTAGATATTATGACAGGAGTCCAGAATGAAGGCTGCATACTGGAGTGGACTTGGGGGGAGGGACTGTATAACAATGAAAGAATTTTTTTCTTTTACTTTTCAAAGAGAAGAGAGAACTGGGGGAAGGGGAGAAAAGTGTAACAATGAAAGAATGGAAATCCAAAGTCTGTAAATTTTCATCAAAATTAATAACAATAAAAAATATAAAAAAAAGAAAAAAGTAATCTTATATAACCACTATTTACATGAAAATATGTTCATAAAACGCTTCTGATGAAAGAAAATACTAAAATAAGTAAGTTCTTTCTAGTACACATACCTTTTGTTCTAGGAGGGCCCTGCGGAGAGAAACCCTCTGTTCAAGTTCCCGAAGCTCTCGATCATGTTGTGCCTCAGCCTGCATCTTGATTTTGCTTTGATATGCATTCAACAGCTCCAGTTCCTGCTGCAGCTGCATCTTCAGAACCTGGCACTCTGCTTCCTGTGCTTCATCCAAACGCAGCTGAAAGAAAGAAAATAGCTGTATCAAATGGCTATATCCTACCACAAGCTATGGAAAAGAGGCTAGAAAGTAGGTTGTTCTTTTTTAGGTTACATAGCTGGTCTAGCTTGTGAATTTATTTGGAAAGGAAGGCACAATAAATAAAAATGTCATTATGAAGCTAATGTTATTTATATGAGCTGTTTGGAGGGTATGTAATCATATTTTTCTTAAGCATCTTATTAGGTGATAAAACTGGGAGTCTCCCCTTCCCTGGAACAAATAGCTTATAGAACAGGGGCTAAAAAACTATAGCTTATGTGACAAATTTGGACAATTTAAAATGATTACAGCATCCATGCATTGTACTTGATTTTGCCTCCTGACTGTCAAAATCTAAAACATCTACTATCTGATCTTTGAGGAAAAGTGTGCAAATTCCTTAAGTGAAAAATATTTTATACTACACCTAAATGTGATAATTTAGAATCCCAATACATTGTACTATTTTTTGCCACTACTTAGTAATACTTTTGCTCTAATCTTGGTAAACTGTTGGGTTCTGCTTTAAAAAGCTCAGCAGCACAAGTAGGAAGCCTATTTAGAAAGCTAATGTCTAAATATATCAAGGAGAATTCTATGTATATTACGCCATTTCCATTACTCAATCATGCTGACAGCAGGAGTACTATGGACGACCATCACTAGTATCGACATTGCAGGAGAACTACCATTTCCAACTAGTAAACTTACGGCTTGTGTGGACAGCATTTCATTAATGCTGTGATCATACTGCTCAGCCAAAATGGCTAACTTCCGGGTCTGTTCCTCCTTGAGCCGTTTCAGAACAGCTTTGTGCTCACTCTTTGGTGTTGTCTCCAGCAGGTGATTTCTTAATGCTTTGTACTGCCGAGTTTGGATTTTGCAGGTATCCTGAAACTGTTTTTTAATTTGGAGTTCCTTAGACTGAGAAGAAAAAGATAGATAAATGTATTTTTTAACATATTGTATTTGAAAAAGATTATAAGGCTGTAAGTACTTTTGCATTTGGCCACCTGAATAAGGCCAAACCACTGCATTCTGAATTTTTATGAAACAACATAAAAAACTCCATTTATTGCAGAATTTCAAGAAATACTCATTGCACTAGTAAACTTAGTGACTTGAGAATGAAAATGAACTCCTTAAATAACTAAAAAAATTATTGAAAGGTACACACACACTTTTCATGAGTTTACAGTGATAAATATAAAGGTATAAAAATAAACATTGTTTTTATCTCACACTCTTATGCTCAATTTCATTCAATGATAATCTCAACTCCAATTTAGTCTATAATTCTAAATCTATAAAGTCTCACCATCCTGAGTTCTAAGGAGCATTCTGGTTATATTTCTTCTAAGACAAATTTGTTTGTTCTTCTGGATATCTGTGACATACTCAATCTTTAACAATTCAAAGGCATCAATTCTTTCTCAGTTTTCTTTATTCAATGTCCAACTTTCACATGTATGAGGAAATACTATGGCTAGGTCAGGTGCACCTTAGTCTTCAAAATGACATTCTTGCTCTTACTTGCTGCTTCTATCAGTGTTGACTATAAATCTAAGTAAAATTAAATTCTTGACCATTTTAATTTTTTTTTTTTGTTTAGCATGATATTGCTTATTGGTCCAGCTGTGAGGAATTTTGTATCTACTGAGTAGTCACACATACTGAAGGCTGGATAGTATTTGAGCTTCATCATTAAGTGCTTCAAGTCTTTCTCATTTACAGCAAATTAAAATTGTGGCATGTGCACATCACAGACTGTTAATGAATCTTCTCTAATCTGGATGCTATGTTCTTCATACATGACAGCCTTTCAGATTATTTGCCTAGCATATAGACTGAAAAGGCATGAATTCAAACATCTTCCTTGATCATAAAAAATGCAACATTTCTTTGTTTTGTTTGAAGGACTTCTGGGTACAAGGACTGCATGAGCACCATTAAGTGTTCTTGAATTCCCACTCTTTGTAATATTACCCATCATTTGTTTTAATCATCCCCAGAGCTGAATGCCTGTACATAGCCAATAAAACACACAAAACATCTTCCTAGTATCTTTTCCATCTGATGTCAGCAGTGCTAGCCCTTGTTAACATTTTATTTCAAATCCACCTAAATTTCTGTAGTTCTCAGTTGATGTACTGCTCCTGTAATTTTTTAATGATTTTCAGAAAGACTTCATGCATATGACAGTTTTCAATAATTTCCTTGGATCACTTTTTATTAAAATAGCCACAAATCTGGACCTCTTTCACTTAATTTGTCAGGTAGTGGTCTTCCAGATTTCTTGGCATAAATGTCTGAGCACACCCGGGCTGCATCTGTTGAAATATTTCAAATGGTAACCTATCAATTTCTAGAGCCCTTTACATTTACTTAATTACTTCTGGGTCAATTCATTATTGTAGCTTGCACTTCTTCCTTCTATACCACAGGTTTTGATTTTCTCAAAGTACCATCTCTTGATTGATTCAGTGACTGGGATAATCAGGATGGGAGCGTCAGAGACAGTGCGATTGGCACAGGACAGAGCAAAGTTTAGGGCTGTTGTACATAGGGTCACTATGAGTCGCAAGCGACTCGACGGCACATAACAACAACAACAACAACAACAACCATCTCCTGAAATTGTTGAGAGCTGACCAACTCTTTTTTTTTTTAAAAAAAATTTTTGTGTGCTTGTACCGTCAAATCAGATCTTACTGGTACAGGAGGAGACTCTCCCTCCTTCCCCAGCAGAGCATCTGGTGGATTCGAACCGTGCGCCTCTGGGATTGTAGTTGCAGCTCCTTGCCACTAGGCCATGAGAGCTCCCTGACCAACTCTTTTTAGTACAATGATTCTGTATATTCTTTGCTGAACTATTCAATATTTTGCCCATATTATCTTTCAAGGTTTTAATTTTTTATTTAAAGTTCTTTCAGCCAAGTGTGTTTTTCTCTTGGTTTCTAACTCCAGATCTTTTCATTCATTATAATAATTATTTACTTTGTCTTCTTGAGTCACCTTTAGAAATTTTCTGCTTAGCTCTCTATCATTTCCTTTCACTTGTTTTAACTTCTCTATGATTAAAAGCAAGCTTCAGAATACTTTTTTATATTCATTTTGGTCTTTTCTTGCATTCCTGTATTTTCAATGACCTTTTGCTTTCTTCATGTATGATGTCTTCAATGCCATCCCACAGTTTGGCTGGTCTTCAGTCATTAGTGTTCAACATATCAAATTTACTCTTGAGATGTTCTTTAAATTCAAGTGGGATACACCTACGATTGCATTTTGTGTCTTATTGACTAGTTTTAATTTTTTTCAGCTTTAACTTGAAGTTGGCTCCAACTCAAAAGGTAGGACAGTGGCAAACAGCACCAGATCATGACTGCATGCAGCAGGGTGTGAAAGGAATGGATGAACAGATTAGAGGACACTATAAGTCACTGTACCACTGATTTAAGAAGGCTTAAAGGGGAAATGCAATTAGCACAATCACAGGCGATAAACACTGTGGCTCTGGATATAGGTACAGAGTCACTACTACTTGGTTGCACCAGGTCACGGGGGCTTGAGCTGAGAATGTGGCTTGCTTTGTCTGAAAATGACACCAGTATGGAGACCTAGCTGGCAAGACACAAACAATCCATAATTTCCTGTGTCTACTGTTTTCTCTTTCCCGTCTTGACCCATGGTAAGATTCTGATCAAAGCCTTGTTTTTGATCCTCAGGATTCCCAAGCTGTTATCTGTCTTATTTATCTAGTGCTGCTATAACAGAGATACCATAAATAGGTGGCTTTAACAAATAGCTACCCACTTCCTGATGTTTAGGAGGCTTAAAAGTTCAAATGCTAACTGTGGGGGAAGGTGTTTCTTCCCTGTGTGTTTTGTTCTAGGAGTTTCTCAGTGTAGGAACCCAGGTCCAAATTATTTGCTCTACTTCTGGGTCTCTGTCTTTGAGGTGGTAAGATTCCCTTCTATTTGTTTTTCTCTCCTTTTAGACCTTGTGAAAGAAAAGATGTTACAGACTACATACAACCCAGGGAATTTTCTCCCCTTATGTGTTTTCTGCTTTGGGGTTGAGACTAGGTGTGGCTGTTACTTGCAACAGGGTGTGAGGTGATTGGATGTGGCCTCATATTTAAAAAGGCTTTTGTGGATCTCCCGAATAAAACAGGCTTGGAAGCAGGAGTGGCATCCACTTCCAAAAAAAGCTTGCCTCCAGAAATTCTATGACCTTGAAGATGAAAAGTTTTGTGTTCAAGACTTTTTTTCATAGGGTCGCTATGGTCAACTCGATAGCACTTAACAACAGCAGCACTGGGTCAGGGCTGTGATGGGATTAAGGGTGTTGTATCCAACTCTTAATCCTTTTAGGACTACTTAGTTATCAGATCTTGTGGGATTATAACAATGTCCATATTACATCACTCATATGCCTATTTTGAGGGGCTACAATTCAATCAATGATATCACCTATATCTGGTTCATTTGTTTTCTTTGTTGTAAATGGAACAATAAAGAACATCTGACTTTGCTACCACCATGAATTTCTGTCTTGTCATGTTTGTTGGTTGTTTGTATGTCCTCTTTGGTGAAGGATTTGTTAATGTTCTTTATTGACCTGGTTTTTTATCTTCTTAGATCTTTTTTTTCCCATCGGCAGGCTGATGTTTTTAATAAAGCCTTTTTTTACAAGCCTATGATTTTAATAAAGCCTTTTGATACACCTAAGTTTTTCATTTTCATTTCCCATTTATCTATTTTGTTTTCTTCTAATCATGCATTTGCTGTAATGTTTGTTATTTTCACAAAAAAATAGGTCCCATAGTTTTCTCTCAAGGATGTTATGGTTTTAACAAGAAGGTTGGTAGGTTTTTAAACCAAAATGATGTTTTCCGACGATATCTTGGGACTGATAAACTGTTGGTTGGTGTGGGAGATGAGATTGGTGAATTGTTAAAAAACACCAACACAAAAACCGAAATGAATTAGTTTTTTAATACAGTATGAACTCCCAATTTTGCTAGTCCTGTTTATTAAAAAGATTGTTTCTGCCTCATTGAATGGATTTTGATTCCCTGTAAAATATTAGTTGTCCAACATGTACCCTTCATGTCTACTGGGCCTACAGACCTGTGAAAAGCTTCAAAAACTGATCTCTGTTGTGCAGAACAGAGTTTGTTAATGTTGTCAAGAACCAGACCTACTTCAAGAGATACCAAGTTGTGATCACAAATGCTTGGTAATATAGGATAAACATAAGCCCAATACATTCAAATATAGGATGATAGCTCATGTAACCAACAGAGAGATAATCTGCCAGATTGTTTATGGCCATACAGAAAAGGATATGATAATCTAAACAGTTTATGGTCATGACTGTCCAAATTATGGTGTGAATACTGGCCTGGAAAATTATGTACTCCCCTGCAGACTTCTCAATAGGTTTGGCATAGACAGGATGTACGAAGGCCAAGTAAGAATAACTAGAGAGGAACACCATGTATGGAAATCATGTATGGTCAACTTTTGTCTTCACTTGCTATATGCATGTAAGGGCTTGCCAGAATTACCTCTAGAAAGCAAGTTTTGGAGCTCTGAAGGGAACTATGAATGGAGGCTTGTCTATCCCTCACAATACCAAGTTAACACCTAGGTATGTAGGATGCAGAAAGCAATCACATGTAGGAATTAAATGGAGAAGTACATAAAAAACACATCATGAGTAGAATGTTGCAGATTATATGTGTTATCTAATGGACAATCAACATCCTTGTTACCATCAGTCAAGAAATCAAATGATGAGTTGTACTGGGAAAATCTGTTGTCAGGGATCTTTCCAAGAGTATCAAAGAGCAATGATGTCAGTTTAAAGACCAAGGTGCATGTGATCTAAGCCATGGTCTTCTCAATTATTTGCTAGGC